CAACCAACTTATGTATTCAAGGCACTAGATCTAAGTGGAGAGGGATGACTATCGAGGATGGGTTAGGCGTCAACCCATCTCTATTCTCTTACTAAACAACAATGACTTAATTAACCTATTATTTTCCTACTAACTTAATTTTTACCAATTCTAACACTTTATTGATGATGTTCTTGTTGCCTGTTTGTTTTATAATAGTAATAATAATAATAATAGTGACACTGCTTATTATAATTTCTCTTTTACAAACATTACCTTTCCAATAAAATCCTTAGGATCATATCTCTTATCCAGTATAATTTCTTCTATTGGATCAACTGAACATTGTGATGGACGCCATCTTATAACATACACCTGCATCTGTGTATAATGCTTCATCTTCTCTGGTCCTAATGAAATGCATGAAGAAATTTATATAACATAACTTACTACAATAATACATGTGGTATACTAAAACTATACTGAATATACTGACCTTTCAATGGTTCCACATACATTTCCTTACTATACTTGTATGTACTATAAGTATCAATCAACTCATCATGAAGATATACTCTACCAGGGGACACTCCCTTCTTGTCACGTAATCTCATTCTACACAATAAGTCACATGATAGTCTCATGATAATCACATGATGTACTTACTTGTCTAATTCAAGGACACAGTCAATTCCTTGCTCTTTTGCTTCTTCAATAATTTGTCTCTTAAACTCTCTCACTTGTGTATAACCCTCAGCATAAATAGACTCCATCATAAAAGTACAAAACTATAAAATGAAATAAAATCTAATAATTATTAATAATTATTCTCATACCTCAGTATTGTTAACTTGTAATAAATATAATTTAATTCTTTTCTCTCCTTCTTGTAATACTGTTCTACCCAGTCTTACTATCAACTAGTAGATAATAAAGAGACGAGTGTGTGTGCGTGTGTGTTATTAGACGTAGTATATAAAAGTGAACAATCATAATCCCACTAAACTAAAATACACATACCTCTGACCCAGATTTAATACCAATATTCATTAATATCTCATCCAGTCCTCCCAGTTCATATTCTTCATCATCACTGTCATATCGTCGGTCATATTTTTTGATTTCATACACTCTAAAACCAGTAGGTGGTACACCAATCAGTGGAACTAGCTCCTCCTTCAACTGATCTAATGTTATACTGTTACTAACTTGTACCTGTATCTCTGTATTGAATAATAATAATGTTGAATGATTTTTCAATGTTAATATTTATTATTACTTCTTTTTTTCCCTTTATTTTCTTCATTTATTGATATAATTTTCATTATTATTCCTCTTTCGGTTATATTAGTTGTAGTGGGTGTGGCTTCAGGTCCAGGAGGTATGGTAATGTCCAGTGTTATTGAGTTAATGTGAAAATCAATAATTCTGTACATCAAACTATCTTTGTATTTTTTTTGATAATCTGCAGGGTCTGATGATACATACAGCAACTGCATGAGTATACATGTATGTGTGTGTGTTAAGGAGGAGGAAAGAGAAATACAAATGAAAGTAGTCTGATCATGCATGTCCCTGTGTACATGCTATTTGAGTAATCAATCATAAAAGGCCTCCTCAATGTTTTACAGTATTAGTGTCATAAATAATAAGTACTTGTTTGAAATTGATTGGGTTAGCTCTCTTTCCTCTATAGAGTACCTCCTTTAAAGTACCTCCTACAATACTAACATCATGGACTGAAGTAACATTGTTTATGTAATTATACTCCTCCACTACTATTCTCATACATGATGGATTGATACTAAATTCCTAAAAAAATGGACCAGATCAATGGAGGGAGATCAATATAAATGACAGTACATTCTTCCTCTTACTTCTCCTATATGTTGTTTTAATTCTCCATCAGTCCAACCTAGCTCTCCTCTCACTGGTTCAGCTGGTACTACTTCAACAGTTGACAGATCAACCACTGATACCTCTAGATTAATACCTACACCATCAAACACATGTATAGTATTGCCATGGTAACAAGCCACACCCACCTCCATCATTGTATTTCTTAAAAGTTTCATTTTCTTTACGAGTTTCTAAAAATACTTGAAGATATCTAGTGACACTCATAATCTGTCCAATAGTTTGATACTGATACTAAAAAAATAATAAAATATAATAATAGGATTGATAAAACATACTTCATCAAGATCAAAGGATTGATTCATTACTTCAGACGAATAATCATATTTAACTAAACGACATCTCTCAATAGAAATATGAGGAGCTAATTCCATTAACTGATAAGAAATGAATAAAAATGAAAGAATAAATAGAAATAGATCAATAAACCTCATAAGCTTTATCCAGTACACTGGGTAGTAATTCATCTTTATGTACTTTAAGGAATGACTGCTTTAATTCACCAGTAACAGGATGATTACAAAATAATATAATCTATGAAATAAAAGTAAGTAGATAGTGTACTTTTGTCCATCTCATTCTTACTCCAAACATTTCTTTTCCAATTTTTTCTTCCTTTTCTCTCTGTCTTTTCTCCTCAGTCTCTTTCAAAAGATCTATTCAAATATCAACAATCAAATGATGATACACATCATCAATAAAACCTTTAATATCTTTAATATCTTTTATAATCTTCTCAGTATGTTCTCTTTTAGTAATTAGTTCCATATTTGTTAATGTTATTCTTTCTTGTAATTTCTCTATTATTCTTTTATTATCTACTAATGGCTGATAGTCTGGTCTTGTCATTGCTTTAAGATGAAATTTGCAGTCATCGATTTCAAAAGACATTCCTCGTCTCAATTTGCTAGCAGCTTTAATTAATTATATAATTATTAGTATAGTTAATAAAACTACTCTAACCTGAATCAGTATTACTAGTAAGTGATCTCAAATACTCAATCTTCATTTTTGATAATTTGTCTGACAATTCTTTGTTTTCTTTTTGTATCTCATTAAACTGAAACCTCAATACAGTCAACTCTTCATAAAGTGGCTCTTCCTATTAATAATTACCGTAATTCTTCTAAAAATTTGCCACAGTCACTTTGATAAATAAATTTTGAAAACGAATAATTAGAGTAAACTAAGCCTTTATGGCCAACGAACAATGAATTATGACGAAATAGGAGGCACTAAGATGCATGTTTGGACAAGATGTAAGTCTGTCGATGCTTCTTTGTTGCTTGACTAATACAATCGGAATCTTGAACTTAGGCTTCTTTGTTGCCTGACTAATACAATCTGAATCTTGAACTTAGGCCTACTAATGGCAGTCATCTGTCCAGCGGAGTGCTGCTCGAGGCATCACTGTGAGTTAGGCATGATTTTCGGCCTCTTCCTGCACAGGTCCATGTGTTATAATGCTGTCAAGTGTCGAAATCGGAGGGAAATGGCGAAATTAGAAGAAGTTTCATCATAATTTACAAAACGAATAATTAGAATTAATTTTGAAATAAAGGTGCTTAAAATTATTTATTTTCGAAATTAGAGGTACGAAATTTTAGAAGAATTACGGTATTATAATTAATACAAACTAGTGAGATATACCTCAACTTCTTTAACAGATTCAGTATCACTTTGAACAGGCAATGATTCCTCCTATATAATAATACCATATTTTACCAATTAGACGCCCGGGCATTTATTTCTTAGCAGCAAAAAATTCATCAAAAGAAAAATAAAAAAGATACTTCGAGTGGGATTGAACCACCAACTCCGGGCAAATTGGACCAGGCTCTACCTAATAAGCACTTTGGAGCTATCTAAACAGTGGGGCATTATTTTTGGTACAAATATGCGTATCTATAGCTAGAATATATTAATGACAGGTGTTTATTTGGACCAGGCGTTTATATGGTAAAATATGGTATATTTAAGTAAACTATATACAATTATGATCAAATATGTACATCAACCAATTAAGATTCATACACAAAGTATGCAAAGAATTAAAATTCTAACCTCAGTTGCTTGAACCATTAATGATATTTCTTGTTTCAATTCAATAGTTTCCTATACATACAATTAAGATTACATTACACAGTCTGGTAGTATGACATACCTTCTCTTTGCTACTGATAGCATCTCTTAGTTTATATTCAGCTTCTTCAAGTATAATATAAGAAATAACCTGTACATATAATTAACACATTACAATCAACTGAACACATTGTTACATTGTACAGGTACTATAATGTAACTAATAAAAGGAATGATTATATTAACTGACCTCAGTGTGTTGTAGAAAGTCTTGATCCTTTTCTTTCAGTTCCTATACAATACAATATTCATTAAACAATATTCAATTATTCATATTATGTACCTTTTGTCTAACATCTTGTCTCCTCCATAATGTTAAGTTACCAATAGTCAGTTTCTTTAATCCTTGTCCCATTAGTATATGAATATTCTCTATCATCCTCAATACAGTAAACCCAACATCAGAGAAAGGAAAGGAGCAAGTGACACATATTGATTTGTGAGGCTCTATATACTCAATCCTCAGTAGTTTACCGGCAGATGCTTTTGCAAGAAGTACCTCAATATCTTTGAGTACATGTTCCTCAGGTTCCCAGTCAAGGACAAAAGTGACTGTCTGACATTGACAAGGAGGAATGGAAGCAAACCTTTCCTTCAGACAAAGACTAATGGAAAGTGAATTGCAAAACTCTTTTAGCTTTGCTTTATATGCTTTAATGTGTTCATCTGCTTCAGTGATATTCATCTCATCCACTACACTACGAAGGGGTGCAATATTAGTCAGTGAACACTCATTTTGAATTAGACGCAAGATACTAGAAATATCACGACACTTCTTTACTTTTTCACAAAGAATAGTACCACAGCAAGACAGGAAATCTTTCATTTTCCTTAGAGAGCAGCGCTTTTGTTTAAAAATAATGCCAACATTGTAAAACATGCTTCCATAAGACATTCTCATTGAGGTAAAGTTCTCCAGTAAATCTTTTGAAACAGGAACTTGCACATTTTGTACTTCAGCTACAGGAATAGATATCATTAGTTCTGTAACATGTCAAGTCACATATACCTTGAGGTGATAAAGGTTGTGAAGATGAATTACTAGCAACTACTACATCAGAAGGAGATGAAAATGTATCTATGAATTAAAAATAAATAATAAAGCAATTTGCTTAATACATACCAGATTGTGCAGTACTTGCATTATGAGTCTCAGGAACCACATCCTCTTCAGGAGTAGGAAAATACTTACCTAAACACATAATAATAAAAAACAATTGTCATTAGTTATGATATACTAAATAGACTACATTCATGTTTCCCATCCACACATGCATATATCACCTCATAATGGCAAATATTCATTAACTATACACATAATATATATTAAGAATAATGAATAATACTGGCCATGCACCCACACCAGCTTTATCTACATTATAAGAAACTATAGAGTATGAATCTAATTTGAGTGGCCATTCAGTAAAACCGCATTTTAAAAGATGCAGTGATTATTATCATAAAAACTCACTAATATCATCCAGTATGGTTTGTCCCAGTGATACATTAGTACTGATTGTACACAATACATTAGCAAATGTATGTAAACTGTTGGGATCAGTTTGAACAGCTTCTTTGACAGCAGTTAATAGAGCCTCACGTTGATTAGGAATAGAGGGACTAGCTGACACCACTCTACTAACTGCTTCTTGTGTTAACATACGTTCACCATAAAGTAACCAAGCAATAGCAACAGAATCACAAAGAGACTGAGACAGGACAGTATGACGATTATTAAAAATATTAATAAGAACCTGATGTTCTATGATAGAAAATACAATGATTATAGCTGCATACAGTAATGGTTGACTCACTTAACTTCTCAGCTACAGCAGTTTCATTTATAGATCCTAGAGCATCTGACAGTGAGTCCAAGTTGGCTCCTCCTCTACTGTCAACATTATCAGCTCTACGTAACCATTGGGAGAGGCACTCTGTCATACAGCGAAGCACATCACCACGATGCTTTGTTTCTATGATGTCCAGTGTATTTTTCCTTAGTCCTAGTCTCAGTCCAAGGTCATACCATTTTGTTTCTGAGAAGCCACATCTCTTTAACAAATCAAGAACGTCAACAAGATCATCAACACCTAAAATGTACAAACGAAATCAAAATGGCGGGTTCAATGTCCATACCTAAACAAGCTTGACTGGATCCAGTAGCCATAGTTCCATTAGAATAAGTGGAGTTAGTGTATCCTGACCTGAACTTGCAGTTAACCAGTGATAGTACAGAGCGAAAGAACAAGTTAACAATGAACAACAACCGACAACAACTTGGCTTGTAAATCGAGCTTGTATAAATTAAATTACCGTAATTTGCCTTTTTTTCGTTGTGGAAATATTTTCGTATGGTCCTAAAATGACGAAAATATTTCAATCGAAAATTTTTGAGCAACCAAAATTTGTGACCTAATTCATCAAAGAAAGACTAAGGTACGGCCAGATAAGTAGGCATATTCTTGCAGCTCTAACCTTGCTCTATCCACTGGTGCTTGCTGTACTTCAATCAGTTGCTTCACTACTGAGTTATAAAATAAAACGGTCCACCATGTGACAAAAGTAGCCATTTAATGTTTCCGTTTATTATCCGTAAATTGGTCATTGCTGCATCTCCAGTACTATCCGTATACTAGTAATGTCGGGGAACAGCCAGGTCAAGAAGCTCATATCTCAAGAATTATAAACACTACTATAGCGGCCTTGTTACCAGTAGGTAAAGGACAAGGTATATGCAAGAGAAGCTAAATTTTCAGATTGTAAAAATTTTCGTACACTATGAGAAGACGAAAATATTTCCACTTGAATTTTTCTGAAACGAAAAATTTTTGTACGAAAAAAAGGCAAATTGCGGTATACTTGGCATACTTGCGTAGAAGGGTGGGGCTGGTTTAATAGCTGCCACACCTACCAGATAGATACATTACAGTTTTGAATGTGACTTGCTGGTTCTAATCTAGTCTCTGCTCGAGTCTCTGCTGATTCTTATATCTAATGATGGAGGAAGAAGTATTAGGTAGCAGTAATTATTATTCCTTTTCTTCTCCTGTGTCTGACTATAATTACAATTCAAATGAAGAGAAGAACGACTCTGAAGGCCAACATGTGAAGTCACGTGATCTCTCTCCTTCTGATCCATTTATTGATAAAGTAACTGATTTCACTCAAAAACATAAAGACCTGCTGGATCGACTCTGTTCTCATGACAGTCACTCGACACATTCAACCACAAATACATGTAATGTAATGGACACAAGTGAATATTTATTAATTAATATTAATTACTTTATCACAACAGGTGTAATGTATGGAGATTTCCCTCCAATTGAGTATCAGATGATGATTGATGTGTCATATAGAACTGAAAGAGCTTTACAAGTAACATCATGCACATTCTACAGTACAGTATCTTTTTATTTATTTATATATAATAATTGTACTTTCTTCAGTTGATGGTTCCTGGTCAGTTAGTTGAGGGTTTTGTTAGTAAAGTATCCAGTAACGGACTAACTATTGAACTGACGGAATTATTATCATCATCATCATCATTACCAGCTGTAAGAAGAGAAATAGCAGATCTTAGGATAAAGGTTGAACTCTATACAGAGGGGGCTGGGTCTTGTGTTTTTATAAATTTAACTGTAGGGTCTAGTTAAGGTTGAGAATATAGCAAGTGACCCTGCAAAGGCTAAAGATGCTTTGAAAGAGTATCAGATTGATGATGTTGTACA